ACCCAATGCACAGGCCTTAGACAAACTCCTCTGCCCTCATGATCCTGTGTTTTTGCCTGTTAAGGCAGAGCTTCCATCTCTTGCATCCTCATTCCCACCAGTTCTCTGACTCTGCATCCCACCGAGAAAGACCAGTGTTTGCCCATCTGCACTGAACACACGCAGAGCTTCTGTCCACCTCAGTGAAGCTCTTCTAATAGTGCTTCTCATCCACCCAACGCAATGGGCTTGAAAGTCTTGTTATACATGATACGGGATGCACGCTGATGATACAGCAAAAGCAGAACTGTTTGATGTCTAAATTGCAGGCATCAAAGCCCTGTAAGGGCACATGGCCAGCATGAGAACTTCTCTGAACTATGTGGGATAAAAAGTTGGATGCAATCAATCTACTCTGGCCCTTGTTGGGCTATTAAGTAAATTAACCTCATTTCTAAGGAACAAAAGGAAATGCAGAGAAATGCCAGGTTTTACCTGGCACTGAAACCTTCACTTTGCACATGAAAACTATCGCTTAAGAGAACAAAAAACAATCACAACTGCAGAATTAGGGKTTTGTGCATGGATGCAATTAAACCCATGCCAAATGTGCTTTTCTTTATAGCACAATGTTTTGAAGCAAGCATCAAAACTTTATTTTTCTAATTTTATATGGAACATTCAACTAATTGCATTATTCTTTTGTCTTCTACGTTGTTAGAACCACTTGAATTGAAAAAAAAATCACCTTTTTGCCCATATAGTGTTGGGTTAGGCACAGCTCTTAAGTGTATCTGGAGAGGATTCTTATAGCCTCATGAATAGGGATTCATTCCCTAAGGAAACATTTCCCAAAGGAAAACATTCACAATCTTTCCTTTAATGGAAATCACACTTTTATGAAATGAAGTATGTGATTCATTCTTCAAGAAAATTTCTGCATAGTTCTGAATCTCTTTAAAAGTGACAGTGACAGACTAATTATAATTATTCTGGTTGCTCCTCCTCTTGCAAAGGCTCTGAGATTAAAAAAACAGCCGAAAGGGAAGAAATGTTGGGATTTTTGCAATATACTTAGACATGAAAATACATGCAACTGTGTTATACATATGTACATGAAGATATGTGATCTTGGGCTATACTGAGGAGATAATAAAGACATGAATGTTGAGTATTTTACAGAAATTGCATCACTGCTGTTTTCTGAAATATTTTACTCAAGATAATAAAGAGAAAACTAGTCTTTCACTGTTACCAGTCTGCTTAAAACAATGAGACTCTTGACTAAACAAAAAACTATGTTTAAGATTAAAGGGAAAAAAAAAGTTTTGTTCAGAAAAAAAAAAAAAAAAAAGCCATAAAGGGATAGCTCAGGCTCAGGCTGCTGCACAGTGGCTTCCAGTGTCACGCTATCCYAGGCCGTGCGGGGCCCCTCTCTGCTGTGCTCCTGCTGGACGCAGCCCGGATCCATCAGCTGGGTGCCACACGGCGCTGGCCTTCACGTAACAGCCGCTGCAAAGCAAAGGTCAGTCAGACGTGCGCGGCCGTCGGGCTGTGGCTGAGTCCAGGGTTGTGCTACAGGCGCTGGGAGGCAGGGTGGCCAGGCTGTGCCCCAGGGCCACGCGCTGAAGGCCCCGTGCGAGCACCCAGGCTCCCAGCGCGAGCGGGTCAAGCGCTCTGTGGGCCAGCTCAARGGCAAAGCGAAGGAAAGCTGCGCTTGCTGAAACAACCCAGGGAAGGGAGAGCTTCAATCAGCTTTAYAGAATCACAGAATGGTTGAGGTTGGAAGGGACCTCTAGAGACCATCTAGTCCAACCCCCTGCTCCAGCAGGGACACCCAGAGCACAGGGCACAGGGCGGCATCCAGGCCGTTTTGGAAGATCTCCAGAGAAGGAGACTCCACAGCCTCCCTGGGCAGCCTGTTCCAGGGCTCTGTCACCCTCACAGGAAAGAAGTTCTTAACTTCTAGTAAACAACTGTGAATAGTCAAAGAAAGCACAGGGGAAAATTTTATTATAAAAAAAAAAAAAAAAAAAAAAAAAAGGTCAAGCTTTTATAATCTTTCCTCTTCCTCCTCTGAATTTACAGTTTGTTATTATATTCTTGTTGTTCACATCCACCTTTTGTTTCCCTGCGTTTTGTTCTGGATTTCTTTCTGCAGTTGTTTTGCTGCGTTTACAAGCGTCTATCCCATAGCCTGGAATAATACTGATAAGAAAAATGCCAGCCTATCTGCTTATGTGAGTGAAATGTGTTACTAAAACACATTTGTGATACAAAGGCCTATAAAATTTACTGTGAACATCAAGAGGTCTATCTATTTTCATGTTTTTACCAAAATCAAGCTTAGACCCTCTCCCTATGGACAAGCTGTTGGGAATGTTAGACACTTGTCACAGCGAATTAAATTAAAGGTACTGGAAAGTCCAGCAATCTCTGCATGAGGAACAGAACGTGGATCTTAAAAATGAAGACAGTATAAAGATATGCATTGAACTCTAAGTAAGTTGTTGAGAAAACGTATGGCAACAAAGGCAACTAATTTGAAAAAAATTGCAAATTGAAACCACTTCATTTTTCATGATTAAAAAAAAAAGATAGGACTTCTCTAAGTTTCAAAAACAGTGTATAATCTTCTCAGTCTCTTTACAAAAGTTTCCTGCAAATGTTGTCCTCAAGATCCTTTCATTTACTTGACTGCCTCATGTTGCAGGGCCCCTAGGTATTTTATGCATTTGTTCATGGGAGGCTTGCTAGTGTCCTCTAAAAGTAAGATGAATGAAGTTCAGAGGGCAAAAATAAGGACAGGAGACCTTGTCTTTGGGCCACTTATGGGTGGAAAGGCCTTCCTGGAATAACCACCTCCACACAAGGAGTCACAAGCTGGACCAAGCTCTTCCTGTGCTTCAGGAACGTCCACCAGGTACCACGTCATTGCCACCACGTGGCCTCCTTGACAACAGCTCTATTTCCTGTCCTACACACTGACCTAGGAAACTGCAACAGCTCAATGTTCACAGTATCACAGAATCACAGGTTGGCTGAGGTTGGAAGGGACCTCTATAGATCATCTAGTCCAACCTTCCTGCTCCAGCAGGGACACCCAGAGCACAGGGTGGCATCCAGGCAGGTTTTGAAGACCTCCGGAGAAGGAGACTCCACAGCCTCCCTGGGCAGCCTGTGCCAGGGCTCTGTCATCCTCACAGGGAAGAAGTTCCTCCTCACATGGAGATGGAACTKCCTGTGTTGCAACTTATACCCATTTCTCTTTGTCCTTTCACTGACCACCACTGAGAAGAGTTTGGCCCCATCCTCCCTACATTACCCCTTCAGGTGCTTAGACATATTCATCAGATCCCCTTATTCCTTCTTTATATTACCATTAAGTCGGATACTACATCACCTTATTTATTATGCTAAGAAAGAGCACATGCATATGCACATGCATGCATATGAGCTCCTGTACAATCCACAAGTATTTTCTAATGCCATGAGCATCAGAAAAGTGTTTAGTCTACAATATACTAGCATTACTTTACAAATTTAGGTCCTAATGACATGATGATGCCTTATCCCACCAGGCCAACTGCATCTATTTCTATACGTGGTTCTACACAAACAAAACATTAGCATTTTTCTTCATTTGGACAAACTCTTCCTTGACTATGAAGATAAAAACCTGCATGAACATGTTTACTGGCTGCCTTGAACCAAAAAAAGCATTAAACAAACATGAAAACAGGAAATAATTTGAAATCAGGTAATAACATCTAAATTGTGTACATGCTGGTAAATCAAGTTTGTCTATGAAGATTATTTCTGGTATATGCCATGAAATCCATCAATATCTACACAAACTTTGAATTTTGTTCTTGGTGCTTCTATATTTAGCTGTACTTGTAGACTAGAATCAAACTAGAAAACACAGCTATCAAATGCCATCTTATAAAACCAAGCCCAGCTTTTCCTCAAAGCATCACTGCTTTTCTGTTCTGCAAATCTACACTTACACAGCAAACTTACTTTGCAGTAYGCCTTTTCATGGGAATAGTTGGATTTTCAAAATGAAATGAAAGCATCAGATTTCTCCTACAATATGATAGTGCTARTGAAATCTCATTATCAAAAATCATTTGAGGGACAGCATTTTGGCAGTAGAAACAAACTCAGGAGTTCCTTATCCCGGTGTTTCTAGGTTTGAATATTGACTTCTTGGAGAGGAAGAAAAAAAATAAAACAACCACCACCATCCTCTATACTTCAAGCCCAGATGCTGTTCATATTGGTAGAAAATTTGTAATTCACCAACAGTGGAAAAAAATTAATTCTTGAACTATGAGATTTGTTAGGCCAAATCTAAGTAGCTTTTGAACAGGAAGCACACAGAAAAAAAATCCCAATGGTACACACGTCAGAGGTTTTACATAAGAAGCTATATGGCCTAGCTAAGCTTTTGCTTTCTCTCTTTTAAGACATGTTCTCTGAATTACGCCACAGATCTCTATTGGCTCCATGGTTCAAGAATGGAAAGTACTGTAGAAAAAGACATATAAAAGTGTATTCTTTCTTTATAAAAAAGTAGGCCAGTTCTTCCAAACTTTGCATTCTTCTGTTTTGCASCCTGAAAAGACTAGTAAGGGAGTATTGCCAACAAGAACAGACCTAGTGAGCAATGCCAGTGTGAACAAAACTTACTGCACAGAACTTTCACACTATTTAGTTGTGCTCAGTGGGTCATACTTTATTTTACTCATTTTCCTTCGTATTTAGAGTCTTAGGGGTTCTTTATCATAAAAGTTAATGGAATAGATGATAAATGGAGCATTATGTTTTCATTACATCAAGTTACAAACTTAAAGGAAAAGCTATACATAATATCCAGCAGTCTAATAAGAATCAAAAGACTTTTAAAGAAAACTTTTTATTTAGATTTCATGACTTACACACCGTAACAAAGTATAGTTTTGAAATATGCACAAGTCTGAGGCATGGTCAGACATATTCCAGTATGTTTGCCACTCACCCTGCCCTCACACTCCAAAGAAACCAATCAATTTTATACATATCTACAGTATAATAAAGTCAACCAAAACCCAAAGTTTTGTATTTCTCAACWTTTAAAATAAGGAAAAACATTTAATTTGCTCTCACACAGACCGCGAAATGAAATGGAAATAATAAATCTTTTGAAGAAAMAATGCATTTAACAACCTCTTCCTGYAGGGAAAAGGCAGTAGCTTAGTACAATGTATTAACAAAAAGAGCAGGTTAATCCAAGCAGGAACTGTCTTGTATTTAAGTGCATAAACATTTACCGGTTTTGTCACCCGATCAATATCAAACCTGTACATCTTTTGGAGTCTGAATTAGTATTTTTAAACATGTTATCAGAAGTTCATCTGATAGGCTTTTATATAAAGTCTTTGGCTACATATGTTAAGGAACTTAAATACACACTAAAGCTACTAGTTACAAGTACCTTATAAATGGTACACAGTCACAGATCATACAGGGACAAGAGTGCAGGTGTGATGAAATACAGTCATTTTCAAGGACTGAGTTACTTAAAACATCCAATTTTACATGCTGAACAGAAGGCTGTAGACCAACTTAACTTGACATTCTTCAATTTGAAAGTGTTTCTGCAGGACTTCTTGACCCCCTCAAAGAATGCCTCACAACATTGTTTCATGTAACCCTCTTGCCATCTGTAATTATTACACGTAGCCTGGAGTCCCTCTCTTTCTTTTAAAAGAACTGTGAAGAACTTCTCAAAGAACAGCAATACTGCTTATATCCCTGTATGGAATTATAATGGTCTTAGATTCTGTCATAYTGTTTGAAGATCTTTCGTAAGCAAAATATGAAAGCAAAATTTCATGTCAGTTTTTAGAAAAAATAGGATTATAGTGATTTCATGAAAATGCTTAATTTTCTTCTTGCAGCATTTCCTCTATTTCTTTGTCCCAGTTATCATCACGTTTTTCTGATTCTGTCACCACCTCATACTCCTGAAGCTCTTGCTGTAGTTCCTTTTCCCAATCAGCAGTCTCTTCTACAGAAGATAAATGATTAAACAAACGTGTGAGAATCAATTATTAAAAAAAAGATAAGAAACTGAGTCAATCCTATCTCCCTTAAGTCTCATTCAAAATATAAGAAACATCAAAATAAAAATATTATTTTTGATGATCATAATTAATATACACATCTGGATTCCTGTGTGCATGTTTTAATGAATATATAAAGTAAATAGATAAAAAAGTAAATTCATGGCTTTGCTGTGACAAATTCCCTTCTCCAAACTCCTCTTCTAAAATGAATTCAAGTCTTCCATTATTATCAACTCAATCTCTATCAAGTCTCACAAAAGGAAGTGTGCATTATTCAGGAAATGAATAAAGTTCCTAAGTTTGTAGAATATACCTAGTTCTTTTAAAAGTCACCCACAATATTTGCTCCTGATTTTTTTTTTTTTTTTTTNCTATAATTAAGAGGATGTCAATTAAAGAAACAGAGAAAAAAAACCAAACATGGGTGGTACGTAAGTACCTATGAAAGAACACAAAGAAGGGAGCTCCTGATTTTTTTTTTTTTTTTTTTGGCACGTGAAACTTCTACAGCAAAAGCACCTGTAAATCCACGTCCTGGTACAAACCTGGCCTTTTCTGCTGTGTTCATGCAGAAGAAAATATTTCCTGACTTCCAGTAATGAACTGTACTATAATTAAGAGGATGTCAATTAAAGAAACAGAGAAAAAAAACCAAACATGGGTGGTACGTAAGTACCTATGAAAGAACACAAAGAAGGGAGCTGGAGAAAATATTCTGCTACTAACTTTCATAAATGAGCCATTTAAAATTGTTAAGATTCTTTGTATAAGTAATACTGTGCAAAAGACATTACTAGACTGTTCTAATAACTATCACTGATTTCTGTAACATTTCCTTGCAGAACAGGTCTCTCTTTGAAAAACAATCATAAATCTACTTTCCTAAATTTAAGTACAGTACTTGTTTCAATCAACCCATCTTAAAAATTATTCGAATAGAGACAGCAGTAAAAAGAAGTTTATTTATTTTACTGTTTATCATGTAGCCTCATACAATCACTAAAAAAAMCCCACAAAAACAGAGGTGGTAAAAGAGATGCCAAAATAAACTAATTATTTTTTCAAACTTACCTTCTACTAATGAAGTCTCTTCTCTTTTTTTGTCTAGCACCAGTTGTTCCATTTCTTTCCTTAGGTCTTCCTGATTCAAATTGCAGGCATCAAAAGCATCACTCACAAATTCTGATACACCTGGACTTGTGGAAATCTCTTCCTCATCCTGTAATAAGACAAGTTTTGTAGAAACTTATTTACAAAGAGATAAAAAGTGCCACCAATACATATTTTCTCTTTTGCGACTGTCATTTAGAGTCACCAAATAAACAAAATGCATTGTAAATACATTTTTAAAGAATATGTTTTGCATAGACAAGAATGTCTATATGTCTGTATAAGAATGTCTATAATGTCAGCTATACTGAAAACAGTCTGCTTTCTATCCTAGGTTTCTTTTTGCATTCCTCTAAAAGCTTTATTTTTACAAAGTGTCATTAGGCATCCAAGTTCATGGTTTTTACAGCATCAAGGAAAGCTCTTGGTACATTCAAAATTAAATAATATTGCTACAGAAAATCATCATTTAGATGCCCTAAACTTAAACTTTCTATTGCTAAAGAATTGGATACAATGTGGCACACTGTGCATGTGCAAGAGCCTACATTTTAATGAAGCATCCATGTTTAAATACTATACAAACTTTGTAATCTAAACACGGTGGAAGCATCTTACCCATCTGAGTTAAAAATGAACATAAACTCCCACTTTGTATTACTGCAGTATGGAAGACACTAATGAAAGTACTTATTCCTCAGATGCACTATCATTTTTTTCCTACTAAAAATGAGCTTTGAAGTATATGTACTAAAAATAAAATGTTCTCACTACAGAACAGCAGAGGAATCAGCAGCAACAGCAGCAAGTTAGAATAAAAGTGGCAGATATTTGTATTATTACAACCGCCTCAAAAGGATGCCTAATGATGTACTGAATGATGCTTAATTATGTATTAATGATAATTAAATGATTAATAGTAGTTTCACATACTAAATACCAGATAAAACACAAGCATTTTTACCTCTTGAGATTTTAGCTGAGACTTTATTGTAACAGGTGGTGTTTTGGGCCGTACAGTTTCTAATGAGAGGAGAAAAAAACAGTTATATTTAAAGATCTCATTTAATCCACATAGCTCAAATATAAAAGAAAACATTATTCTCAATTTTAAGGAATCCCTATGGTTAAAGGCTGAATTCAGCCATGGGCGAAGCACTGAAAACAAGATCTTGAAAAGCAGAAATTTTATATGCTTAATTAAGTCAAATTCACCAAATATTTCCTTCCTCTTGAATCCAAAGTTTAGCCCTAAACCTCAAAACAATCTAAATAACTATGAAATACAAACAGCTGGGAAACAGGAAAAATGCTTTCTATAAAACACTCACAGTTTGCACCACAGGGTGCAAAACCTATAATGTTAGAGAGATGTAGGCTTCCTCCTGAAATCCAGTCACCACCTAGAGCAGTCRCCACCCTTCCCCACAGGGCCACTGCTGCAGACAGTGCAACACCTGGCTCAGATCCATCAGCTCCACCCATGTGCACATCCCAAAGGCACCCGAGACGATCTCTTTGCAGCCTTCCCTTGCCTTCCACATAGGGGAGAAGAAATCATTGAAAATCAGGAACCTTGGAAGTTGCCCCCAGTTTCTCAGGAATGCTTAGTGGGCACTCTGAATTTAGTAGCATGGGGCTAGAGGGGCAGGACTGTTTGTATGCAGGGACAGATCTTGTTCTTGACAGGTAAAGAACATTTCAGGCTTTCTCCTCCACATGCAACTAGCAAGATAGAAAGACTGCAATGAACAGCCACAGGGCTGCAAGAGCAGTTAACGTACYGGGCAGGTTGTGGTCATAGTTATGTGCTAGGTTAGCAGTTTTGTTTGTTTTAGCATKCAAAGCACTTGAGTTTGCAGCTCCATGCACTGCAGTGTGGCCTCTCCTGCTAACTCAGCAATTTCTGAAGGGGGAATTTTGGGGGGTTTAATTTGCAAAACTGAGATCAGTGCTAATTAAAATAATTCTTTAATTGGTGCTTGCTCCTGCTTACGCAGCTCAGTGGCTCCTGTCACACCCTCGTTTCTCGCTGTCCTTCGTGGGCTGCGGCGGGGCTGTTACTGCGCCCAAAAACAGGCCCAAAGAGGCTGCAGRACCCTTGGTTGCCCAGTGCCTGACGCACAGGGCCAGAGCAGAGCCTGGATTCAACACAAGGGCTCTCCCTCCTGCAGAGGCAGCAGTGCAGCTCAGTGCTGGGCCACATCCCAGGCTGCTGAGCACTGGCCTAGCACCACCCTCCTACACCCAGCTCCTTCCCAAGGAAGTAGCTCCTGGTATGTGGAGAAGGACCAGAATGCGGCGTTCGGCTATGTGGTGCGCACACAGTACAAAGGGGATGACTCCAATTTATCCCTATTTTCCTCCCCACCAGCCACGCTAATTAAACTTTGTGGAAACAGCATACAAGGAGGGGGTGGATAGAGATGAAATGGAAGGCCATTAACTCCATTTTGCAGACATCACTCAGCTTTGAGAAGAAACTCTGAGCACCAGCCAGSATAAGCAGACAACTGCATCTAGTTTTATCCACCAATCAGGGAATGCAACCTTCAAAAAAGTCATTTTAATATAAAATGAAACATGGATGATTCACAGTCCCCAAGACCTGATAAAAAACAGACTCAATAAAAACATGACCTAGTAAATATATCTCTGCCATTACATAAAATGTAGTCATTAGGACAGTTAGCCTATCTGTACAGCCTATAGTGCTCTTCTGAATTGCACGAGATCCCCAGCAGTCCAAAACCAGCATTTTGTTTTGTAAACTTTTGCTGAAAATGTTTCAGTTGGGATGGTAAGCTTTTCTAGCAGAACTCCTTGGGTATTATCCAACAGAGTTCTCTTTGATTGCAATTTCAAAGAGTTTCTAAGAGGATGACTCAAAGATAAGAGTTTTGTTGTTCAAGAGGGTGAGTTGCCCTGTTTCTCCTGCAGAGCTGAAACACTTCCTTTGAAAGAGCGATGGCTTGGGTTTGCAAATGTGACCTACATAATACACTGCTTAAAACCAAGCTTACATTGTCCTTTTACCCCTGCTCACTTAACTACACCATCAACTTGCGTAAAGGAAACATTCAACACTGTAATTAATAGCAGAAGGGCTTCTATTTGACAAGCCAACCAACCACAGCAGCAGCAGTTTCCTATTTTCTAAAATTGTTTTACTGAAGCAATGAGATACAAAAAACAGAAATCAAGCAAGTGCTCTGTGATAAGAGGAGACATAATAATAGTAACCAAATTTCACAGTGAATATGCTTAAAAACAATAGTGAAGAAAAGCTCTTTTGGCAAAACTTATGCATTACTAAGCTAGAGGAAATCTTTCCAAGTGCCACCTAAAGGCTCATGGATTAAAAGGCTCAAAGATTACAAAGATTCTACGTACACTCAAAGATCTATTGTAAGGCACTACAGAAGCCAGGGGAGAAGACAATCACTACAGTTAACAATATAATTCCATCAGCTGATATAATGAACAATTCAATAGGCGGAAAAATCYGTAAAAGAAAAATAACCAAATAAAAAAAGGAAAAAGAAAAGAAAAAGGAAACTGAAGGCATTCACTTAGCTGTTAAGGCTGACGAAAGTAAGGACCGTGCTAGAGATTTCTGGAGCTGATGACAGTTGATCACATAAAAAACTGCACACAGAAGAAAACATAACTTGCTTGTCAGAATATGACAAAAATGAGACCTGAATGTGGAAGAAGCATAGCAGTGATATGACATGAAGAGGTAAGAAAYGGGCCTAAATGTCACGCACTGAAAGTTAAAGAGAAGTTTGTTCTGATGAGAATGTTAGTTTGSAGCATTAAAGAATAGCTCTTTTACATGAGGAAAAAAGTCACAGCTTCCTTGAAACTGCACCTTGCAAGAGTGTCAGGTATCTAGTAAAAAGCAGCTTTACCTTGCCAACATCCTTGTGCTGGAATCAACAGTACAATTTCTTTCCTTTACCCAGATGCCAAATTACATGAAATATACAAAGAATCAGTATCTTTGAGACTGCTTTTCCTCCCATATTGAGTTGACATTATCCACTTGTCTTGAGCTTTTCTTCCTTTGTAACTCTTGGCCAGTTTATGATTTCCTCAAGAAAGGTGGTTTTGGCCATTTTTTTAATGCTACTTTTTTGGCCAATATTTGAATATGCAAAAGAACAGCCAGTTAAGACATGGCAGTCTTAGTTTTGCATGAAAAGATTAAAAAGTTACACAACACTAAACAACAGTGCTAGTTAACAAAAATATTACTCATCTTGTCAGGCTTCTAATTAAAGTAAATAGAGGGAATTAATATAAAAGAAGGCAGAAAGAAAACAAGGCTCACAGGTCTGGCAAAGGAAAATCTAAGTTGATTATAAGATACTTGGAAAGGATGTCAGACTTGCATGAAATACTGGASTAGATGTGCATGAACTTTGGAGGGGTAGATTTACTAGCCACTCATTAAGAAAAAGGGTTGTGGAAAGAAAAAAGAAGTACAGCTCCAAGCCCATATACACAGTAAAGATTAAACGGGAATATGAGTGCAAGTCACCAGGCAGAGTCAATCAAGACAAAATCCTACAGCGAAGCATAAAAGGGCAGGAGAGCATCCAGTGAAAAAACCTAACCACAGAGGCAGGTAAGGTGTGACCAGAATCTTACTACTACTTACTACTACTACTACTACACTACTAAAGGTGACCAGTTGGCACCTTTAGTAGTGGCAAAAATGGTTTGTGACAGGACAAATACAGCCAATATGGTCCAAAAGATTGATAGTGGTTGTATTTAACAACAACAAAAACAAAAAAACAAACAAAAACACAGCCCTAAAATAGTAGCAATGGAAAACATAAGCTGCAACTTGGAATAATGTTCATAAATGCTGTCCATACAAGGCACAGAAAGAGAAAATGAAAGCAAAATGGTGCCTGCTGAGGGCCTGGCAGTCTCTGAGGTGCTCTGCCTGTAGTCACATTGCACAGGTTTGGCCTAAAGCTCCTCTGCACTCCATACAACATTATCATGGGCTATATGTATACATATCTATATATAATATAGATAGATATATATATTCTAAGACTACTAAATCTAAAATAGCATAAGTTTTTATGACTGATAGTATGCTGTTCACCATGGGAACATGCTACAATGTTTGAGTATACGTGTCCATTGGGACAGCAGACAACTGTCCTACATTTAAGAAGTCGGAATTGGTGCCTTCTGATCCAGAACAGATGGCAGAGTGAACTGTCCTGTCAATGTTACTTGGATTTGACTGACACACAATTTCCTGATTAATTCTAGAAGGAGGCCTTGCCTGCAAAGAATCTCCAAGAAATGGAAGAAAAACTAGTCTGTTTGCAAAAGGTATCTCATAYGCAACATGGAAATCCTGCTCCATAAACCAGCCTGCAGCTTTCCTCTCACCCCAGAGTTCAGCTGCTTGTGCCCAAGGTGTCAAGGCCCAGGTGCACAATGTTAGCTTAGACCACCAAGAAAACTGCCAAGCTCTGCAAGAGTTTTGAGAAGGTGAAACAAGAAACTAAAGTAGGACTAAAGAGATGGGATCGTTAATTGCACATGGTCTCCAGAGGAAAAATATCAAAATAGGAAGTTGCAATATCCTGAGAAATTTGTAACAAAAAGATGGAGGGCGGGAGGAATGAGGCAACTTGACAGTCATAGTATGGTTGTCAGTCACCAGTCAGTGTCATCAGTGCCAATGGATTTGAGAGCTGATGACAATTTGGGGATATAAGCATTTGCTGAGGGAGCAGCAGAGGCCAACTTTTCTTCTGCCCAATGTCTACTGGACTGGCAAAGATTCTTTGGATATCTTAACAGGGTGGTGAATGTCTCCTTGCTTAAGCTGGAATTTAATGGCCTACTAGATATCCTCTGTATGTTAGCTAGTCTATCTAGTAAATATMCTGCTTGCAGAAAGACCTTACATATCTCTAAAGATGCCCACTGACCTAGAAGAGAGTCTACGATGGTACACCAAGGAAACTGTAACAGAATCACGTAAGTTACAGTGGCTTTTTCCATTCACAAGGTTGAATCTCAGCTAGCCTCATGTCCTCCCACCATTCCACATACCTACMATACACTCTGTCCCTTTCCACACCTGCATGCCCCTGGGCCTGCCCTGCCTGCAGCAAACCCAACTCCACATCAACTGACCTGTGTGGCATGAGGCCTAAGCAGAGGGGCAAGGTGCTGAGAGGGGCCTACAGCATCAGGCCCGAGAGCTGCCAGGGCTGCCTGGTGCCTCCCATCTAGCACATGAACCTAAAGCACCTCCCGCTTCTCTCTGGTGTCAGATCAAAAAGGAGCTCTAGAGACCTCCTGAGTTTGTGTCTTGAGCTATTATAGGACAAGGACAATGTTTTCTCTCTTGAAATTTCCACAATTCTGTGAAAATGGGTTAAAAGTGCTGGGAACACCATCTCTCTCCCAACTACACAAAAACATCCAGCAAGGTGCCTGATTTCGCAGGAAACCCAGAATACAAATTCTAGATCATTTTAGGCATACAGTCAGTATGCAGGACAGAAATTAAACTATTCAATTTCATGAGCTAGGTCAGAACAAACCTTTTCATACCTTTCAGTTGACTGTCCTCTTCTCTGCCTTTGTTCTCTTCCTTCCCTACAGCTTGCTGTTGAGCAGCAAGTGCAGTGAGTTGTGCAGACTGTTTAATTAGGGACACCCTGTAGAAGTAATTTCTCCAGAACACCTCCTCCTTTACGCTAGAGAGAACAAACAGATTTTCATGACTACATGTGGGAATGTAGTTTCTTCTGCTAACTAGCAATGAAACAAAACAAAACATGTTAAGGGAAGGAGTAGAAAACTGCCTCTTAAACTGCCTCTTAAAAATTTGTGAAGCAAACACAGYTTAAAAAAAAAAAGACCTTCTACAAGATAGGTATACTGAGTGTAAACATATAATGGTAAGAATTTATTTTTTTAAAAAAACCTTAACAGCAGGCAGCAAATACACATTTGGAAAAAACGTTATGCTGTTCTATCCCTCTTTCCAAAGAATGTAAACAAACCTAACAAAACAAATTAATCTGTTTYACTTCCTATCTAAAAACCTACATTTTCTCATTGTGAAAGATATATTCGTGTACATCTTCTCTAGATCTCAGGTGAAAGTAGAATCTTTGATTTACAGACAAAAGCCCTACTAAGATTGCAGCAAAACTATTTCAGTTTCTGAATGACTTTTAGCAAGTTCTAGTCTGCAAGTGCAAGACTTTCAGCAACTAGAAACTGTCATCTAGTAAACAACCAGCTCTGGTRAGAGGAAGTGGCATTTCTCTTAAGTGACATTTCCCCCTAATGATCGTCCAGTAAAGAGAAGCCTGTTTTAACCCAGAAGAAACAGAAGCCAGAAAAAGCAGGGCAGCTGGGAAAGGAAGCCAAGTAGGACAAAAAGAAAAAAAAAAAAAGTCTGGAGTTACCCTCATATTTTACATATTCAGGCAAACAGTGCCTACTGAGACTAACTAAAGAAAATCTATTAAGCAATGGAGTAGGTGTGGCAAGGAGAGCAGGACCAGAGACTGAAGGCAACATGGGAGCAGATCTGTGATGAACTAGAACACAGGCAAAGCACTGGGCTTGACAGAGCAGAAAGGAGCAGCAGGGAAGGGCTAAATATAATGAGGAGCTGGAAGTTCTACCAAAGGAGGAAAGTTAAGACAGAGAAGCTCACAAAGCTGTTTACTTTCCAATTTCCATCTTCAGACAAGGAGACTAATGCTAGAAACTCCTACTTAACAGGAAAGGTGACCTGTGAAACAACTTTAAAGAGTTTGCGACTGGATAGGGAAGACAACCAAGATCAAAAGAAAAAAAGAGATTAAGAAGCCATACTGCAACAGGTAAGAAGTCCTGGCACAAAAGCATTMTTTATCTTTTAGTTAAGTCCACTAGAAGGCGTCACAACACAGAGCTTTTATCCATAGCTGTTCAAAATTAGTTTTTTTGTGCCTGCCTTGCTTCTACTAGAACTGGTCTCTGCTGTGAATTCTTTTGTCCTTTCTTCAGAGGGCCCCTGTCTCTACTGAGCACTTTGGGATGTCAATTAACAGCGCCAGATCTGAAACACTGTTGCAATACTTACCCCACTTTGTGTGTGCGTGTGGGAGGGATCCYGCTCAGTTTACTGCCTTGAACTTGGAAAAAGTTAATATCCCTTCCATATTCAAATCTTAAAAAGGAACTAGAAGGACTAGGGACCCATTAACACCTCAACTGCTAAACAATGTTGCACTTACAGTATTTCACGTACGTGAAACTATCAGATACAAAATACACACACAGCAAGTAACATACTGAAGGAACTGAAAGTGGTGAAAAAAAGAGTAACTTAGAAATATTAAAGCAGAAACATTACAGGTACAATGTTACCAGCAATATTTAATAACAGCAATTTAATAATGGTAACTACTAGTTAACAACAAAAGCTACTTACTGTTTAGGAACAAGATCAAACCTCATCCTATTGAGAAGCTGATCTTCTTGCAACATAACCATTGCAACAGGGTACATCTGATCAAAGTCAAAATTAAACTGAACACCTGCTGGAGGATCCCGCAGAAAGTTTCGTTTATCCTTTGAAGAACATATTACAGTTGTTAACAGATAGCAGAACAAGGAGATGGCATTCAACACAACCAGCAAATCAATCCCCACTTACCACATATTTCTAGTAATAGTGCAAAAATACATAAACATTTAAAAATAAATAAAGAATGTATTGTGGATCTACTTCAGCTCAAGTCAGTGCCAGAAGAACCCCAATTTCCTCCAATGTAATGGCAGGCATCTAAGAAAACCTCATATTGACATTATATTGCTCAATAGTGCCAGACAAACTTACTTTGAAAAAAAATCTAAATACTTACTGCTGATAAGGCCAGTATTTGTTGTTGGATTGTTTCTTCTTCATTGCTATCTACCCAAGGTGGCACTGCTGCTTCTATTWTTAGAAGGAGAAGAGTAATTTTACTACATTTAAACAGAAAACACAAAAATCTATCACTAAACAAAATAGCATAAAACATCACATATATCACTATGTAATGTTGTTCATTGTTCCTTTTTCCTAAGCTAAGCTCAAGACATGAGATAAGTTCTATTAGAAATTAAAGATCCATATCTTTGCTTAATGAAAGTAAATTTAAATAGCTGCTTTCTAATTTGCTCATTTTAAAAAGAAAACTTAATTGTTTTCTTCCTACTGTTCTCAGACTTGCCACTTTGACTTATTAAAGAAGCACTGTATGAGTATTGTAGCACTGTAGCAACTGGCTGAGCAGTCTGTCATTTCTAGATGCCCTTTAAACTGTGTGATTTTTAAGTTTTCAGAATAATTTACTGAAATCTTTTTTTTTTTTTTTTTTCCCCCCCCATCCAGAGGGCTGATACCAGCTAAGGAAGAAATTCCTCAATTATGGAGAAAAACCTATATGATGTTATACACTGAATAAGCATGTGCCTGTTGCTCTGATTTACATATCTACACAGGTATTTCCAGAATAGTTCATTCTGTAGGCCATGAGTAGAGAAAATGAACTATTTTAAATGATCAAAAAATAGATTAATCTCTTCATTGTCTATGTTGATTCACCCTGCAGGGATATTGTGATGAATTGCTAGTAGTCTGCAAATAATTCTTGTGCACTAGAACTAATGAAGCTCACTTGTCCATGTACTTCGTAGAATCACAGAATCCTTAGGGTTGGACGGCACCTATAGACATCATCTAGTCCAACCTTCCCTGCACACGCATGTGGCACAGGACTGTGCACTTGGCATATTTAAGATGTTCATCCCATGTGGATTCATTGATATCTAATAGCTACGTGCTGATGCTAATGCTTTTAGTTAGGCCACCTCTCTCTCTCTCTTTTGTCAATGCAACTACTATGAAGTGTGTGGAAGCTCACTTATCAACAGATGCCAGAGTTTATTAACAGAAACAACAAGATAAATATACAGAGAGCATGATCACATGTGCATCACTTCAAGAATAAAATGTATTAACTACAGACAGTATGAAAAAAGTGAATCATGATCCATGTAAAACTGTCTCATATTCAATGTTAAAAACAAGCATGACATTCAAATAGTAATAAATTATGGTATTCAGGTCAATACATTAAAGATGATAAGCCAATGATGAAACATAACATATAGAGAAAAAAAATGCTTATTAGAGTTTCAAATAGATCCACTGATCTCAGTAATACATGGGTGGATAACTCAAAGAAGGATTTAGATCACAGATAACTACAAAGCAAATGACTTTTGGGAAAGCAAAAGAGCAATTATGCCTTTAATGCAAGTGTAGCAACRCCCACAGTAAAACTAATTAAATACTACAGCACAACCCTTGCACCCCATGTTTTCAATTCTATTATTAAGATGTTACAGAATTGCTAAAGCTGGAGACAGAGGTCACTAGTTTGCCCTCTTCCAATAATACACACACTTGAAGTTATAACCAACAATGAAGGATCAGTATTGCTAACACACCGACTTTTGTTTACAGTAAGTTATATTTGATTTAAAAAAAAATCTAATGTAACACCTTTGCTTTACTAATCTCACATAAAACCAGCATTTTTTCCTCACAACAGGCATTAAGCTCTGTTACAACTATGTTTYATTGAAGAGAATGAGCTTAATTATTCAGCTTCCAGTGAAGTTTTAGTTAATGTAGAACTCTACAGTTACACCCAGTAACTGTGTAATAAAAAAGTACAGTACCAGATTTTTTTGTTTGCTGCTCTTGGACAAACTTCTCTTGTTCCTTCTGAAAGTCTCCAATAATTGTCTACAATAAAACCGAGACATACAGAATATAAGTGTTTCATGTTTAGACAAAATACACTTTCAAATACATTGTGGCGCCATATTCTCACATCCCCAATCTTCTCTGTAAACGAATCAGAGATGTTTCATGTCAGTTACAGAGCCTGCTTTTCTGAACTGCTCATTTTTTGCCTTTAAAACCCTAATTGAGAAACTTAATTTGAACATCAGCCTACTATAAAACACTCCTCTTGCCAAATCAAATACAAACAATGCAGATTATCTTCTTAGATCTATATAGAGTAAGTTTTTAAAATAGTATAAACACTTGAATATACCCTTGCTCTTATAACATGTTTTAAAGACTGAAGAAATATATACACTGCAGTAACAATTTTGTAGGTCAAATTAAAGTATGATTTTCAGATTGACTTGGTGAATCTCAGAAGCTGAATCATTTCTCTGTTTACAAGGCTGACAAAATTTCATCAAGAACTTACTGCCAGTAATGTCCTATGTTAAAGTTAATATTAAAAATGGAGAACGGTCATAGAAGAGCGTGGTGCATCACACAACTTCACAGTGTAAGACTGCGTAAGATTTAGTCCTTTCAAACAAATTCCCCAAGTCAGCATGCCATAACCAAGAAATAAGAATTTATTGTTYTGTATTGTTCTACAGTAGAAGCAGAGACAGAAAGGTATCAAGCTAGAAGTTAAAACTTTAAAACGTAAGTTTCTAGAAAGATAAAAGTTGTAAATAGTGACACCTACCGATCAAATAAGCAAGTTGCCAAAAAGCATACAAATTCTCAAGCCAAATTATGATTAATTCCTATAAAAATGTTCCCAGTTAAAAACCAGGGAATCTCAGTATAGTGTAACATCAGTGAGGRTACTATTGTAGTACCTATTATGCAACAGATTGCACTGGCTCCTCATCTTAAATGATATGAATGTTTAGCATTTCTTCATATAGTATAAAAGAAAAGCTTTAGGATGCTATGGAAACTACAATCTGATGTCCCAGTATGCTGCAGTCAAAATGAAAATTCATATTATTTTACCTAGGGTATTTACAGAAGAAAAAAAAAAAAAAGCTAATTTAGGCACAAGAAACTGTAGCTAATTAACCTACAGCATATTTTATGAGCATTACTATTTCTGTTATAAAGAAATTATCAAATAGCCTTCTCAGTCTATTTTTCCTTTTTTTTTTTTTTGGCTGACATACGGTTGGCTATATTCTGTGGATCAAAAACATATCAAGTAGACAGTACCATCCTGCATATCAGGGACTGTAACAACTATAACTTTCCTGTTATGTACAGCTAGCTGTTGTTAAAAACGTCAATGAAACATGAAAACAAAATACAGCCATAGGGGAAATTTAAGAGTCATTTGATGAAAACAACTGAATTTGAACAATTCAAAACAATTTGAAATSGGGCATGAACAGCATGTTCTGATTTTTTTTATTTTTTATTTTATTTTATTTTATTTTTTATTGTAAGACTTTATTTCCGCAGACAGCCAGATGAATGCAATAGCTCACTAATGCTGAGACGGGGAAGTCTGAGAGGGGAGAAGGGGTCTGGTCTCACCTGACACCCACTGTGTTGGGTTGACCCTGAGTATTTCCTCTCCCCTTCCAAACTGCCTTTCCCCRTGAAATGCACAACTAGACTTTTTGCTAGATTTTATTTCTCTGCCAAATTTTTGACTTAAGCACTGCAAGTACATAAGAAAGCTGAGCAATGGAGTCAGGAGCAGAGCAGTGGAACCAGGAGTGGGGAGAGGAAATAGAGAGAACTGACAGGATCAGTGAAAGGATAGTAGTGAGCAGTTTAATTATCTCACAGGGCCTTATAGAACCATAACCGTAGAACTCTATGGATCTCCTAGTCAATATCCATAAAGCTGACTCAATTCTGATTCTGCTTCAGAGTTGCATTTAAGAGATAGGATAGAGCATTTCCTGTTCCCACTTAAATGAACTAAAGAGAAATGCTGGGGAAACAACAACAACAAAAACAAAACTCACACCTGACTTCTCCCAGACACCCCCAGCTGCTGCTCTCAGTAGGAAAATTACCTTAGACAATGAGAAAGTAGCAACAAAGCTACCTCAACTAYGCAGTTCACTGACTTAAGCCTATTATAATTGAAAAGTGCTGAAGAACAACTTCCCTGCACCTCTTCCAAGAAGCAAGAAGGGAGCATCAGGCAAAAATGTCTTCTTTAGCACAGCAGGACACAAAAAATTACAGCCTCCATAACGTCAGATCATTTGGTCAGTTATAATTGAATCTGTTTCTCCACTACAACTCTACAAACCTTTAGATCATGCTTTGATTAGCAATAACACTGCAACTAACCAAACTTTGGTCAAAAGAGTATATATTCTGTTCTACATCTTAAATTTGAATTCAAATTCAGTTAAGAATTCTCTCATAGAATATTATTTCATAAAGCATATTAAATATTCCTTTTCCTGGTTGCTGGTTTACAGAAAGCTAACATATATATGCTTCCAAAGTGGGACAAAGTTATATTGTTATACATATATATATACACTATATATATAACTATATAGTTATATATAGTAAATCATGGGATGACCTGGTATACCTTGTTTCATAAAAGTTCTGTTTCACTCATTGTACCTCACTTTTTCTCTGTTAGAACTAAAGACTTCTAAAGGAGAGCTGTTGTCAAAGCAAGGGACACCTCAGAAACAATGCAGAAGACTGTAGACAGAGAAAAGACTGTCTTCACTGAAATAAGTGACCCGGTCATTTTCAAAACAAGCTCACATGAAAACCACAACACACTATTAAGTTACACAATAAGGTGTAGTGTTCAACATACAGAGCAGATGTCACAACATGCAGAAAATGATCAGACCTACTTGCCTTCTCACCACAGCAAAATTAAACTCTTTCCTACTTGTAAGACTTTCAGATGACTATGGTAAAGGATCAATGGTTTAGAAAAATACATGAGAAAGTCAACTCTGTTTTCTGATAAGAACTTGAACGCTGTTCAGTGAGCAGGTCTAAGATCCACAGAACAAGCAACATGAAYAATGCCTGAATAACTCTTCAGTTAGCAAGCACTGTATAACAGAAGCCTCTGAAGTGCTTTTTGTATAATACAGAAACACGTCATAGCTAGACATTTGAGCACTGTTTTTTAAATGAGTGCATATATTATTAAGCTCACAGAAGAGCTGTTCTATTACCTGCATTTTCACATATACATTACAAACCAACAATTTTTGGCATGTCTACTCTATATGCATACTTCAGTCCGGCTGTTTGTCGTGACAGAAATAGCTCTGCTTGAACCATCGAATTTCTAAAGCAAGTTTAAAAAGATGAAGTATCATGTGCTAGATTTCTTACACATTCCAATACCAGTAAGCAAACAGATGTTATGGATCAAGTAATCAAAAAATGAAATACCTTATCAATTATACTGTCGATTTTCCCTTCTTCTACAGACTTCTTTATAGTTTGCGCTGTTTCAGCAACTGATTCAGATATCTTTTTTGTAGCAGCAGTGGCAAAATTGAAGAGGTAACCTTTCACAGATGAGAAAAAAAAAGATGAAAATTATATATCCTTTTTATATCCTTACTAGATTTCTTTTGTTTTTGCCTTTGGCTACCTACTTCAAGTCTTCGTTCAGAACCATTTAACTTAGCTTCTTGTCTACAAATAACTCCTAAAAATCCTGCTAATCCTTTTCTATTTTTGTTCWTTAGTTATGTAGCTGCTTGATCAAAGTTTCTGTAAATGATAAATTATCATACCTTAGATATGATTCCTAAACTAGGCAATTCTAATGGGCTTCAAAATGCCGCTCTCTGATCAATTTTCTGAAGCAGTACCTCTTTTAACTTCAACTATTTAAAGTGATATTCATATATTAAACAATGAAGTAGCTTTAGTAACATGAGCAAAACTTTTTTTTTTTTTAAATTAGAGAAATCAACATGCACAATARAGTCTCATTAAGTGAGTCAATAAGTGTACATAATTTCTGGTAAGCCTTCAAATTCCTTCAGAAGTTTTAAAGTTCTACTGTTTTCAGTGCTTCCCCTTTTATATTCTGTCTCATTGCATTTTTGCTACTCAATCTTAGGAATAACAAGGGTCTTCTTTTTGATTTTTCTGAATAGCATCAGAACAACAGTAGCAAATACAGAGTAATCAGAGTTTTTTAAAGTATTTTTTGTACCAGCAGTGCTGAACTAAAGAAAGGTGTCAAGAAAGAACCACAAAACACAAACAGTTGTCCTCTATTACTAGTTTTTAATATTATTAAAGTACTTTAGTTACCTGAATTAGTTTATTTCTCACATAATTAACATCACCAGCACTGCATTAAAGAGATGTATTATGTCTGTAATTTCACAATTACAGTGAATTACAATGTCAGCAAATACTTAAAATTTAAACTTGCAGGAAGACGTAATGGTGTTTTTAAAGCTACATGGTGATTATCAGAAACATACTTGAGGCATACGACACATAAAAAAAGTATGTGGGATGACAAATATACTTCAGTTATTCTAAGAAATTGATTTTAACACAGAGGACTTACCAAAAAAAAAAAAAAAAAAAAGGCACTTGCTGAGAGAGGAAAGAAAAGAAGTAGCTTCCTTTTCAGGATCTCCCAACAGTTCAACAGTTCTCCCAACAGTTCAAGGTTGCCATCTGGATTACTTCCCCTGACTTTTATTTGCTTTTTTTGCATCTATGGAAGCTTTCTCAGATGCAAAAATTCCTGAAACATTTGTCCCTGCAGATGGTGTATGTTACACTATAACATAACAGAGTTTTTGGATGCAGTTGAACAATGTAGTTCTGGCCAATCGTGTGACCGAAATTTTTTTTCTTTCTATTAAAGGCAAGTATATAGTTATACTTCCTATACTAAGGTGCTTATAGAGCCTCAGTAGAAGGGAGTGCTTGCCCTAGTGAACTAGTGGTGAAAAATGAATGTTTCCACTTTCAAAGGTCTAAGAATGTCTACTTCCCTCTTCCAAGTCTGTGTGAGGAATATTTGACGGGTAATATTTATATTTTTAGTTCATAATCACAAACTCTCCAAACACAGATGATACCTTGCTAACAATGCTACCTTCTGTAGTAATATGAAAATGAGCATACCGACTACTCAATATATGGAACACTGCAGTTTTCTGGTAGAAATCTTTAAATGGTAGGGAAATCTGCCCACACAATCATGCTGGTTGTTAACCACTGATAGTTAAAGAGCTTTCAAGTCTTAAAACAATAACATCCAACTGCTTTTAAAGAGAACCTTTCCACCACAACCTTCTCATGTCACATGGATGAACATAAATCAAAACATAAATGGATCACTAGATCAATTTCTCATTTCCAGAGCTAATTATTTCACTGAAATTGAATCCAAAGAAGTTTCATCTTTTACAAATTAGTACATTTACTGTTATTTGATGGATCTTTAAATGTGCAACAGTCAGTAATTATTCTTCTCCTGAAAATATCCAAGAATGTACTATAGTAAAGCAGAACTCTTGCCTACAACTAATTATGACCTTGTCTCATTACAGATGAGCCTCACAAAACAACTTTGCTTTGAAATGTGTTTTTACATAAAAAGAGCACTTCACAAAGTATGTTTTCTACATTCTCGGATCACAGAATCAGAACAGTAATGAACGTTTAAAGAACTACTACTAATTAAATAACTTTTCTTAGATGACTGAAGTATTTGCAGTCAATGGCTTGATTCATATTTCAAATATCCAATTATTTTTTATTTGATTTTTGATTGCCACTGTGGCAACACCCTTCAACAGTGCATAGAACCATTAGCAATTCAGCAATTCAATTATCTTCTTTCTGTTGGATATTATTATTTAAAGGGAAATTATAATTACACCATAACTACATCTTCTTCCTTTTTTTTTTTTTTTTTTTTTTGTGGACTTTATGAAAATCAGCTCACTTTCAGGCTTCCAGGTTTATCAGTTGTGTGGGCTGGATTCAGAATTGTGGAGCAGACTGCAGGAAAAACTCCAGCTTACAAAACGCTCAGCAGTGATGCATGTCAGAGCTAACAAACACTTAAAAGCGATACAAAACAGGAGGACACATGGGAACATCAGAGACCAAAAGGGGCAGAGAAGAATGGCTTTAAACACGTTCTTCACTGAAAGCACTTTGCACACCTTGTCTRCTTAGTTCTGTTTAAGCTTTGTCTTAAGGGAAAGCAGGTAACTATTTTTAAACTTCCAACCTAACTCCTCTATGTGCCTTAAACCAGTCAATCTTTTCTCCTTCAGTTGCTGCCCTGTTACTGATACCTTACAAACAGTGTCACAGCCACCACAGCAAGATTTACTGGTTTAAAAGCACTGAGCGTGCTTTTTGCTTTAACAGCAACACGAGCTCCATTCCCCAGGCGGGGAGGTCGAGGAAGASCCCCCCTCACTCCCAGCAAGGGGAGCGACTCTGCGACTCGGGCCTTTCCCCTTCCCCTGTCGTGAGGCCCTCGCAGCAGCCGCCGCCGGGCTCGCCCCGCGCGCCGGGACACTCACTGCCGAGTCCCCTGGCCTGGCTGAGCAGCGGGTCCGAGTCCGCCTGCGGCTCCGCCGGCTCCGGGCTCCGCGCGGCCGGCTCGTCGCCCGCCTCGGCGCCACTGCCCGGGCCCCGCTCCTCGGCCGGCAGCAGCTTCTCCTCGCCCGCCCGCTCCAGACCCAGCCAGCTGCCCAGGCCGCGCAACATGGCGCCGGGGCGGCGCGGCCGTAACGGCCGCTCCTAACGGCGCGAGCGCGCTACGCAGAGACGCGGCCCGGCCGCTCCTTCCGCGTACGCCACTTCCGAGGGCGGCGGGGCCCGCCCCGGGGCGGAGCCGCTGCCGTCGCCGCGCGCCCCTCGCCACCGCCTCGGCGCCCGGCAGGAGCGGGGCTCGCCCGCCGCTCTGCTCCGGCTGAGCGGGTGGAGGCCG